ATTTTTCAGCGGAAGACAACCGGCCCAATCGTGCAGGGACTACCGGTAGATGCCTGCCCTTCCCGGCCCCCGGCTTAGGCCCGACATCCTTGATCTTTCCGATGGGCCGGCCATGGTGAAAGGGCGACAGCGTGGGACATGCAATCCATCCAATCCATCCATACCCATCGACATATCGTCGTCTGGCTTGTCTACAGCCAGCTATCATCATTCAACTGTCTTCACGACCTCCTCCAAGTCTATCCCGAAGAAGAAAACGTCTGTCTGCTCCACGTCCCAGGACTTCACCTCCCCCCCCCCCAAGCCGAATTCGCCTTTTTCCCGGCGCTCGCGCTCGCCCGCTTCTGGGTGGGGGCTCCCAAATCTTCTAGATAAAGCGATTTCCCTTAAGTACAGGTGCACACGAGAGCCTCACCTCCCAGTTCCCCTAAGTACAGGTCTTCGCGATGGTGGAAAAAACAGCGACACACAATTACCTAAGAGCGTGCCCGCGCAGAGATAAAAGGCCGCGAATGCCCTGATCTTTTGTGCCTTCCTTTACGATTCTTGCGATTCTTTTTTTACCCTTCGTTGTTGTCGTACGCATTGTTCGATACACTTGGCCGACGTGTACACGACACCTACTGTTAAATCTGCCGCGTACATACACATTTACGCATAACACTTGCTTCAGGTAAGCGCACCTAGCTTTGTTGTATCAACGCAGTTTCCTTTGCTTTTGAGACAACATGCAAAAATAATCGTGTTTCTTTGACGATGGCGTTTCCCCTTTGGCTACCGTACGGCCACAAGCGCACACACCCGTCGTCATTCACCCAAAGCTCTCCATGGATCACCAAACTAACATCGCTCCTAGCACGCCCCACACAATGACCTCCGCACCCTCACAACAACCAAAATTCCTCCCCACTCGCAATGAGCTGGGAGTCGTCGCAGTCGGCTTCAGCGGCGGCCAGGTACGATTACCATCACCAGCATCCCCACACCCCTTCGTTTCTGTGACTAACGACCCCCACTCGCAGCCCAAAGCTGGTGTCGATGCAGCACCCATGGCCCTGATTGAGAATGGTCTGATCAAGCAGTTAGAGGAAGATTTGGAATACAAGGTAACCTACGATGGCAAAGTGCACAACTACTCGGAGATGCGCCAGACAGACGACCCCGACTTCCGCGGCATGAAGCAACCCAAGTTTGTAAGCGCAGTGACGCGCGAAGTCAGCAACCAAGTCTACAACCATGCCAAGGAAGGCAAACTTGTCCTCACGCTTGGTGGCGACCATTCTATCGCCATTGGAACCATCTCAGGTACCGCCAAGGCGATTCGCGAGCGGCTGGGACGCGAGATTGCCGTCATCTGGGTCGATGCGCACGCCGATATCAACACGCCTGAGACATCGGATAGCGGAAATATTCATGGCATGCCTGTTGCTTTCCTGACTGGGCTTGCGCAAGAGAAGAGGGAAGATGTATTCGGCTGGATCAAGGACGAGCACAAGCTCAGCTTGAAGAAGCTGGTTTACATTGGCCTGAGAGACATTGACAGGGGTGAGAAGAAGATTCTCAGAGACCATGGTATCAAGGCTTTCTCCATGCACGATATTGACAGGTATGATGGATTGTTCCCGCCTTGTATGGGGTTTTTTTTAGACGGACAAACTAACTCTGTCCACAATAGGCACGGCATCGGCAAGATCATGGACATGGCCTTGGGCTGGATCGGCAGCGACACACCCATCCATCTCTCCTTCGATGTCGATGCGCTGGACCCCATGTGGGCACCCAGCACCGGCACACCTGTCCGCGGCGGTCTCACCCTACGTGAGGGCGACTTCATCGCTGAATGCGTTGCAGAAACGGGCTCGCTGATTGCCTTGGATCTTGTAGAAGTCAACCCCAGCCTCGACGAAGAAGGCGCGGGTGATACCGTTCGTGCCGGATGCTCGATTGTTCGCTGCGCGCTGGGTGATACCCTTTTGTAACATGAGTGTTTTCTTCTTCTTGTAAAGCCATAGTTCCGAGAGACTGGATAGATTTGGGGAAATAGACAGTCACCTACCTACTACTGCATCTCGTTGGACTAGAGAAAGAGGCGGGCCGGATCATAGCGTTCCCCGACCCATAAGCTTCTCTCATTTCTTCCATCTTCATGACAACGAAAATACAGTGATCGATTTCACCTAGTGCTCAGCTTTGCGTCATCGCCGCCGCATTTCCGTCCCGTGAGCACCCGCGCCCGCCAAAGACACACATACTTGTATATCAATCGTATCCACACTGGGCAACCATAGAAAACTATTGATTCTTTGTGCAGACTTTTCATTTTCACGGAGGTCCCAGTTTCGAAGGCATAATGCGATTATGCGTGCACTTTATACGATCGCCTGGTGGTGTTGGCGATGTTGCTTCTAGGGCCGGGGTGGGAGGGGCGCTAGCTGGAAAGGTACGGGTACAGGTACAGATGCAGCAGCGCAGAGGGATTACGATTGAGCAGTTGGACGGGAGGAGAGATGGTATGTTTTAATTTCCTTTGATTTTTTTTGGGTCATATATATTGGGAACAGGTTGGCGTGCATGTAGACAGGCTCGTTTACAATCGACTACAATCCGGCAAATTGGGGTCTTGTCCCTTTGTTTTTTTATATTTCAAAAAAAAAAAAAAAGATACAAGGAAAGAAAGCTAATCAACACATCTTCTGTCCTCTCCGTCCAGCCCGAGAACGCATCGTCATCCTAGGATCAGGCTGGGCAGGCTTCAGCCTCGCACGCGGGCTCGACCCCCGGAAATTCCAAGCCGTGGTGGTCTCCCCACGCTCGCATTTTGCGTTTACGCCGCTGCTGGCGTCGACGGCGGTGGGCACATTGGAGTTTCGGACGGCGCTGGAGCCGGTGCGGAGTAAGCGGACGCGGGTGGATTTCATCCAAGGGTGGGCAGACGACGTGGATTTCAGGCGCAAGACGGTGACGATCGAGGAGGCCGTGGATGATCCGTTGCAGGCTCTGGCCCCCCTTTATGATCGCCATGCTGGGGAGTCGGCGGAGCAGCGGGCGAGGGCGAACGAGGCGGAGGTGGCAAAAGGGAGACAGTTTGATTTGACGTATGACAAGCTGATTGTGACGGTGGGCTGTTATAGCCAGACGTTTGGCACGCCGGGCGTCAGGGAGCATGCCTTCTTCCTCAAGGACGTCGGCGATGCGCGCAAGATTCGCAATAGGCTGCTGGCCTGCTTCGAGGGCGCAGCGCTACCCACCACGACGGAGGAGATGCGCCGCCAGCTTCTGAACTTTGCAGTGGTCGGCGGAGGACCGACGGGCATCGAGTTCAGCGCTGAACTGCATGATTTGATCCACGAGGACCTGGCCAAGATTTACCCGGAACTCATCCCATACCATAAAATCACCGTCTACGATGTCGCGGACAAAGTACTACCCATGTTTGACGAGAAGTTGGCAAAGTACGCGTCACAGCGGTTTGCCCGCAGTGGCATTGATATCAAGACTAGCCATCATGTCGAGTCGCTACGGTTAGGAGCCCCGGCTGAGCGGACGATTTCTAAAGACGTCAATGACTACCGCCTGTTCACCCTCAAGCTCAAGGAAGAAGGCGACATTGGAGTCGGCATGTGCGTCTGGAGTAAGTTCCAACCCCCCCATCCTCTCACACCTACCTGTATGAACCACTACTAAACCAAAGCCAGGCACAGGACTGATGCAGAACCCCTTTGTGGCGCAATCACTCGACGACGTCCGACAAGCCCCAGACAACCTCCAACTCCTCGACAGCAACCAAGCCCTCCAGCACCTCAAAGGCGTAAAATGGAAAGTAAAAAAACACCCCCGCTCAGGCTCCATCATCACCGACACCCGTCTGCGCGTCAAACTCGAGCCCTCGACCACCACCGCCGGCCCCCAATCCACAGGCCCAGAAGCCGTGAACCCGGACGTGTTTGCCCTCGGAGACTGCGGTGTCATCCAGGACACGAGCTACCCGGCCACTGCGCAAGTGGCCTCGCAAAAGGCCCTGTGGCTGACCAAACGGCTCAACAAGGGGGATGTGGATAAGACGGCGTTTACGTACCGGAATCTGGGTACGCTTGCGTATATTGGGAATTGGGATGCTTTGTTCCAGGGGGGCGGCGGAGGGAGGCTGCAGGGCTATCTCGCGTGGATTATATGGCGGGGGGCCTATTTGACCAAGACGGTCAGTTGGCGGAATAAGATTCTGGTGCCGGTTTATTGGGCTGTGAATTGGGTGTTTGGGAGGGATATTAGCAGGTTCTAGAGGGGAGGAGGGGAGGTGGTCATGATGCTTGGTTAGTTTTGGGGATGGTTGAGTTGGCCAGGATAAGAGCGGTGTGTATAAAATGGCGAGTTTGTAATTTTAACACCGAGAGATGGAGAGAGCGTTCACTCGTTGTGGATGGGGAGAAATACACGCAAACTCCACCACACAATCAAACCCCCCAAACCAACACCCACCGTACCCATCCACCCCACACCCCACAACTCCCCAGGTAACTATACTAGCGAGACAAAACCCGAAAGCGAAAGCCAAGATGAAAAAGAAAACCTACCCCAGCTTACCCATGGACTCCCACCCCATCCCGACGCGGTCCACATCGGGCCTTTGCAGAAGAACACACAGAGACAGGAGCATGAACTGTACTTGTCCCACACGAACAACCCTGGTCTGACATGCAGTAGTTCCGTCGACGTGGCTCGGTGGGCGAGCAGATGACTTGAGCCGAGGAGGGAGGGAGTGTGTGTGTGTGTGTGTGTGTGTGTGTGTGTGTATTTGTATGCAGTGTTGGGTCTGTTGGATGTGTGTGTACCATGTACGTAGAGGCAGGGATGTGTGCAGTTTGTGTGCAGTTTATCTGCAGTTTGTCTTCTCAATGCGACTCGACAGAAACAGAAGATTATCCAAACCAAGCGTACAGAAAGAAGGAGAAGAAAAAAAAGGGTATTTCGGGACTGTCGGTGTGTTGATTGGTTAAGCGTGCGTAAGTCCAAGTACGTCCATGACCAAAGATGCCCACACACATGGTACTTTGCTGACAGCGCAACGAGATGGAGTTTGGGCGAGGCGGCGACTTGGGACAGATTGACAGATTGATTGATTGATTGATTGATTGATTGATTGATTGATTGATTGATTGATTGACGGACGGGTCTGAAGTCCATGCCAATGTCTGGTCTAGTCGGTGATGACGGTCTACGCTTGCTTGTTCTTCTCTCTTTTTTCCCTTTTTTCCATCAAATCCCACACTACCTACCAGCCTGGCCTTCCAGCTTACCCGCGTGCCCAACGGAGGCGTGGAGCAGGACAAGCACGACAAGCCAGGACTCGAGTGTTTACCTGGTGTGTTGAGCCTGCGTTGTCAAGCCTGCGTGCGTGCGTGCGTGCGTACGTGCGTGTGCGTACTATGTGTTGTAAACTTGTGGCCCGCTGGACCGCCCTCAGCTTTCCTCTCCCGTTGCACAACGTTACGCTTCTTGATCGGTTCCCAGGATGCATGCAATCGCACCTTGCGTCACTGTCGATAATTCCCTTCCCCCCCCCTCTCTACCGGCTACCCTCTCTATTACCACACACCACCGCCAACAAAGATTAGATTCACACTGACGACACCCTCCCCGCAAACATACGCTGGCACCAGCGCAGCCCTGCCAAAAAAAAAAAAAGGAAAAAAGGAAAAAAAAAAATACAAGATAATTAGCACAACATGGTGGGTAGAGAGAGGCGATGCACTCAGCATGCATCGTCTGCTGTGCTGTGCGTGACGGATCGTTACTGACGTTTGTCGTGTTTTGTGTGTCTGCCATATAGACCGACCACCCGTACACATCTGGCGGTCCCCTTCCGCCCTCTCGACCGCAGAGCCCCGCGCAAACCAACCCGAAATACCACTTTGACGGTGTAGACGACGGGCTGGGCGGCGCCCGAGCAGAAAGTCCTGCATCCTCCCACACCCGCCGTCGTCCTTGTCGAACCAGTTCGAGCACTAGCCATAGCCACCCCCCACGCTCAGCCTCACCATCATGTCTCGAGTCCACTAGCGGAACCGATCAACGGATCAGAGCACGGCGAACTTCTACGCTCAAGAGACCTGTCAGACGCGATTCAGGCTGTACGGAAACCTCGGTTGCCTCGCAGCAGCCAGAGCGGCAGGACTGTTACGAGACGAGCAACGAGGGTGGCGCATTCCTGCCCAAGCTGGGCCGGATAAGAGAGGGGAAGAAAGCGAGCAAGAGTTCCAAGAGCCGCGCTAGCTCCACCGTCAGCTCAGCTCTCGGATCAAAGTCACGACGTCGTCAACGACACATGGAAGACAACGCAGTAGACCAAGCTCGCGAACGTCAGAGACGCGGCGGCTTGCAGCGACATCCGGACAATCTTGCTAACCCGTCGAACCCATCGCCGGTTTCATTCGACTCTGGTGTAACACAGCCGTCCAACACATCAGGTGCCAGTAGCTCGACCGAGACACGGAGGTCTCATGACAACGGTGGCCAGGAGATGACTCTGGAGCCAGCATATCAAGACCGCAGACCAGCATCCCAGGCAGCGTTCCACTCCCAGACACTGGCCAACATGGACCCTCCTCGACCGGATGTCTTCCAATTCCTGGCGCCCGACTCACAGGCCAAATCCTCTGCGAGTGAAGACACACACCACATGACCCCACCCACAACAATATCCTCCGCCCCCTCGTCACCACATGACACTCGCCTCCACAACGATGGCTCCTCGACACCAGGCACCTTCCCGCACGAGATAGAGTCACCCGCTAGCTCGCCAGCCTCGACCCGAAAGTCTGACAATGATCACTTTCACTACCAAGGCCGTGAGTATCGCAAACCGGGGGCGCCACTATATGCAAGTAGCTTTGTTCACGGTCACGAAGTGGAAGAAGAAGAGGACGAGGAGGAGGAGGAGGAGGATGATGACGACAATGATGAAGAAAATAAAGATGAAGATGACAGCAACCATAGTGATGAAAGCGAGGAACAAGACGAGGATCCCAAGGCGAACGAGAGTGGCGAAGAAGCAAGTGGAGCAGAGAGTGAAGAAGCGCACGACGATGATGCACATACTGAGCCTGCTGATCTGGGCCAGGCACCCAGTCTGGCCCTGGACAAGGTCCCCCCTCCCATTGCCCCATCAACATCATCCCGACCCAGTGATCCCCACACTAGACGTCTTAGACAACAGGAAAGGAAGCTTGCCAGCCATGTTCTGCAAAGCCCTCGGCCACAGAGGGAAATCCAATTCGGCGTAGATCCATCCGCTGAACATGTCCCAATGCCTTTGTATCATCCTCATGCCTACTCGGGCCCATCTCCAGCTGCTTCACAGGCCACTTCAGGACCATCGCTGTCATGGCCTCCTATGCCTCCATTGCCTGCCCCCCTTCCCATAGGCTACTCACCCCATCATTCTCCAGAGGGAAGCAATGCATTCCCGTTGACAGTACGATCTCCTGCAGAAGCCATGCAGCAAATGGCCCCACCGTTTCCACCGCATCTCGGCCAACCACCAGTGTATCAGTCGCATGCTCCTGCTCCTGACCTGTCTAGGAAGACCGTCATAGGTTATGAACTGCTGGCCGAAAAGCTGAGCAAGCCCAAGTCGGCTGGAGGTAAGCGCTCGGCCAAGCCGGGCAAGGGCAGTATTGTGCCCATGTACCGAAAGTTTGAGCATCTCAACCATCGTGTTCTACTCCACCTGCAGGACGAAGTCAGTGAGATGGAGGAGGAGCTTCGCCACCTTGATGAAGTGATAGCTCAGACATCGCCAAGGGATGACTCTGGCCGCTGCTATCCAGGATCCAGGCGGGGAGACGCGCGCTTTGGCGGTGAATCACACTACCGCAGGACTGAACTTCTAGGACGCATATTCCAGAAATTGGGGCAGTACAGTGAGTCCTTTTCTCCTTGTCCCGTCAAGCGACGATTTGCACTGGAATGAGAAGGCCGTGTTGTCCAACACAGACGATGGGCATGCCACTGACAACGGTCCAGACCAGGCCTTGTGTTCCTTTCATACCCTGCTAAAGGAACTCGACCCCACTACCACAGAGGACGTCCAGGCCTATCGCTCGTGGATGGAGAAACGCACGCCAATAGATTATACAGAGGCCCGATTCCTTTCCAGGGAGCAGGATCTTGTTGTGGTTTCGCGCAAATCCTCCGCAGTTGGCCATGATCATGTGGCAGCACCTCATCATCATGATCATCATCACTCGGCCGCGGTCTGGTTCCCTTTGACGCTGACACTTCCCGTCATGGCATTTGCCATTGTTCCGAATGTACTTGCGCGCCTTGTCATTGTTACCCTCATCTGCAGTGCCGAGTTGTGGATGGTCACGGTGACGCCTGAGCTGAAAAGCTTCCTGTCGACCCGGGAGTGGGTTTTTGCTGCTATTGCGTAAGTGAGTTCCAGTTGTCTATCAGACCACCAGGGGGGTTGTTTTTTCATGTAGATACGTACACCTATGCAGACTTGTGGTTGTGGCGCCATGTTCAGGCAGACGATTGGAGTTTATAGGCGCCGGCAGCAACTCCGATGGATGTATTGGCCGAGTTGTTGATGCTGGCTGTCTGGTCTTGATGACTGTGCTAATGCAGACAGCTATTTCGGGGTCATGGCCCTGCTCGCAGGCCTCGCACGTTGAGGCGCACAGACTGAGACGGTGAAGCTTGGGCATGGGCATTCCACATCAGGCTCCAGCGCTGCGGAGGATTTGACGCACTGATCGCCATGGTCGGTTGCACGGGCCCAGGCACACTGCCCGCCCTATCCGAGAAGAAATTGGCGGGCTGTGGAGTCGTTCGTGTTGCACGGTTCCTGTTTCCCGCATGTCGTCATTCCTCCGCGCATTTGAGACTTTTGGGGTGAATTGGACAGCGTTGTACCCTATCCGTTTTGGGGATTCAGCCGTGTGGCGGCGGAGGGCAGGGAAGATGGATGGACATCACATGAGGGTACTTGTAGGGTGCGGTTCGCGACCTTCCATGGGCCGATTAGGTGAAAGATGGGCGCGCCGCTTGGCTGACGACCGGGGTGGGGTGGTGTGTGTTGTCGTCCAAGCGATGGTGTGTGTGAGGTAGAATACGAAGAATCTATGATGTTATGCTGGCGGGTATGGGAGAGAGCCAGGCTGGACATGAACTGTCGTCGGCCGAGTGATGGGCAGTGGCGACATGTTGTGTAGGGTAGACGAAGTACTAGAATAGGCCTAGGTTGGAGGCGTAGTACTTGGACATGCATCGAATACTGGGACTGCCTGTGGCACTGGAGAGAGTAGGATTGAATGGACATGCATGCTGATTGGAGGGGGAGGCGCTAGTGTGGTTGCCAATCGAGTTCCTCTGAGGAGGGTCGGGCTGCACAACGTGCCACTTGCGTTTCTGCTTGATGATGAGAGAGCCCCATTGCAGCGGGATCGGACCGAGAGGGAGATGGCCGGTCTGTGTCGTAGTAGTGTACTATAGTGCAGTGCAGTAACAGTAGTTTGTGTAGTTGTTGGCAGTACAGTCGGTGGATGATGATGAGGAGAACAAGGTCGATTGCAGGTCCATCACCGACCAAGCGGCAGGTAGGTGCTCTAGATGGATGGATGGGCACAAGATATTGTACAACCTAGGTAGTGTAGGATGTAGTAGGCATGTATACAGCAGGTAGGTACTATGGTAGGTACAAGTAACGATGATGGCTGGGGTGTGGACGGAACGCTCAGACCATGGCCGAAGAAAGGACCATGGTTCACGCCGGGCGCGCGTCCAAGTGGAGGAGGAAGATGGGGGAGGGGGCAAAGTGATGAGTACTCTCTCTCTCGGGGTGGGATGGTTAAGCGTCATGTGTGGGGACCAGGGAAGCATGGGTTGGCCGAAGGTGGAAGTGTGGTAAAGGCTGGTCATGGCCCAAGAAGGAGGCAGCAGCAAGTTGGGTGATGAGGCGTAGGTACAGTGTGGAATGTTTGTGTGTACTGCAGGTAGGATATGTAGACTGTAGCAGACACTGTGTGCCATGTACTCTGCGGTGTACTGTGTAGGAACGTGCGGTGTAGGTGTAGGGTGAAAGCGGGCGTGAGAAGGGTGAGGAAGCTGGTTTCAGAAGGGGCAATGAGTGAGTGCAGCGAAGGGTGCCGTGGGGGGGAAGTCGGTGGGGTCCGTGCGCTTGTTTTGACATGCGTGGGCTAGTGTTGGAGTGGGCTAGCGTCGTGTTGTGCCTGCACCCAAGTAAGTCTAGTCAGGAACCGGGGGCGTCTGTGCAGACTGACGCCAGGCTCGTTTGGGCACAGATTGGGTCAAGTGGCGGGGGGTCAGGGGAAAATCGGAAAATGGGAAAATAGGACAAGCAGGTGACCCGTTTCAGAGGAGGGCTTGTGGGTGTGTGAGCGCATGTGGGTGTGGTCAAGGGCTTGTGGGTGTGTGAGCGCATGTGGGTGTGGTCAAGGTGGGTGTGGTTGTATACTACGAGTAGGGTAGGCATGTGTGATGATGCCTGGTGTTGATATTGATAGTACGGGAGGTGGTGGAGAAGTAGAGCGAGCAGGGCTCCTACGGCCATTGCTTTTGCTTTACCTGCTCTTTCTTGCACAGCCATCGTCGTCAAGCCATCCTCCTTCTGCCCATCATCATCATCATCATCATCATCATCATCATCATCATCATCATCATCATCATCATCATCATCATCATCACCCTCATCATCACCACCATTACCTAGCCCTACATAGCCCATAGCCCCCAACCGACCACGACCACGACCACGACCACGACCACGACCACGACCACGACCACGACCACGACACCCACTTGCCGAAACAAGGGCTCCTCCTTCCCACCCATACTACGTGTAACCTACCTACTACGTACACTACTCACTTACTTACTCTAGAGTACACACACCCACACACACACACATTACATAGCACTGCCCAAGCACGCTACGACTACCCTATCCTATCCTGCTACCAGCATCCATTGCCCGCTTCGCTTACCTAGCTGCTCCTACTTCCCTTCCTCCCCCCAGACGTTTGGCTCGCTCCTGTCTGGCGCTCCTTCATAATCCCGCTTCCCCCCAATTGCCGTGTGTGAGTGTGTGAGTGTGTGTCTGTGTGCAGAGCAGGTGTGCAACTCTCGTCTCCCTCGTCTAATACCTCACTGGCACCCACCCCGTTCTCGTCTTGTCTCGGTCGCTTGTCGCCCTCTTCCAAACCCAGCGCCTCTCCCCAAAGCTCGCTCCCCCTCTGCGAAACGCTCTGCACGTCTGGAATGTCGCACCTTGGCCTCTGTCCACTCACCGTCTGACCTCCCCCGCACCTGTCGCGTCCCTGGCCTGCCAGACGCTCCATTCAGCACCCGCGCCCACCATCACCCATCGCCCATCGCCGTCCCCCTCCCCCTCCCCCTCCCCTTCCTCCTACTTCCCGTCGATTGCATTGCCCCGCCGCCCGCCGCCGTCCTCGTCCTCGTCCCCGATTACAATCTCGCCGCCTCGTGTGCGCACAACACCTGAAGAACCGCTATTCGTTGCTACTCAGCAACTCTCGCTGGACGGGCCCTCCCGCGCGCAAGTCATCTGCCTGTCCCTTTGCTGATCGCCAGCCTATCCTAGCCCCCTTCATACAAAGAAAACCCTACGGCGAAGCACAATCCACGCCCGACTAGCCTCCCCAGACAAAGCCCCGAATTCCTGGGCCGTCACCCCTAACAGCTCTGTTGTTCCACGTTGCCGTACCTGAGTAGATTCTTTGTCGAGTCTGCTGTTGCGCGCGCGCTTGTCAGCGTTCCTGCCTCGCGACACCCAAATACATTTCCCCTCTCTCCCCTCTCTCCCCTCTCTCCCCTCTGCCCTCTCCCCTTGGCCCTTGGCCCTTAGCCGGCTCTGGTCGCAGCGCGCGGTCACCACACAACAGCACAAATGGCAGTGTCGATGCTGCACGCTCCCTCGCGAGCCTCCACATCCTCGTCCTCGTCCTTTATACCCGTCTCGCGCCAAAACACAATGTCTTCGCACGATGGCTCGCGATCGGTGCGCCAGTCTAAGCGGTACTCGGTCACGGCGCTGTATCTGTCCATGTCTGCAAAGGACAAGGAGCTTGAGATTGAGGATGACTTGGCCAGAGGTACGAGGGCAACGTCGCGCATACCATCTTCTCCCAAGGCTGACCCATTTCCCTAGCGCAGAAAATACTCCGAGAACTCAAGGCCAAGATTTCGTCGCAGTCGAAGAAGAACTTTGTTCTCGAAAAAGACGTGCGATACCTCGACTCGCGGATAGCCCTACTGATTCAAAATCGCATGGCATTGGAAGAGGTAGGCCTTGCCATACAATCAATCCTCCATTCGCAACCGCCTCGACTGATCCCCTTGTGCAGCAAAACGAAGTGGCCGACCACTTGGCAGACGGCCTCGAGTTACAAGAGGGCTTCTTCCCAAACGACGAAAAGACGCAGAAATACGGCAATCTGCTCTTCCTCTTGCAGTCGGAACCACGGCACATTGCGCATCTGTGTCGCCTGGTATCCATGGCTGAAATCGACGCCCTTTTGCAGACTGTCATGTTTACCATTTATGGAAACCAGTATGAGAGTCGCGAAGAACACTTGTTGTTGACCATGTTTCAGGTAGGTCTTGGCTCTGCGCAAAAGACAACATATGCGTCCAAGTTTTTAGGCTAATCTTGCGCCCTCAAGTCGGTGCTCACGTATCAATTCGACAACACCCCGGACTATAGTTCGCTCCTGCGCGCAAACACACCAGTCTCACGCATGATGACCACCTATACCCGCAGAGGCCCCGGTCAAAGCTACCTCAAGGTGGTCCTCCAGGACAGCATAAACTCGTTGATCGAGCTCAAGGATCTCGATTTGGAGATCAATCCCCTGAAGGTCTATGAGAAGATGGTCACCGAGTTGGAGATTCAAGGCAATCTCCCACCGGATATGCCCAAGAGCGTAACCGCAGAGCAAGCAGCCGACAATGAAAAAGTACAGCAGATTATCGCACCGCGCGTGAATATGCTCATGGAGATTGCCAACAATTTCCTGACCACCATTATCAACGGCCTCGAAGAGACACCCTACGGCATCCGGTGGATATGCAAACAAATCCGTAGCTTGTCGAAGCGAAAGTACCCCGACGCACAAGACCAGACCATCTGCACCCTGATCGGTGGCTTCTTCTTCCTGCGCTTCATCAATCCCGCCATTGTCACCCCGAGATCCTACATGCTCATCGATGTCTTGCCAGCCGAAAACCCAAAGCGCACGCTCACGTATATTGCCAAGATGTTGCAGAATCTCGCCAACAAGCCATCGTACGCAAAGGAACCCTACATGAAGAGCTTGCAACCTTTTATCCACCAAAACAAGGAGCGCATCAACAAGTTCATGTTGGACCTCTGCGAAGTACAAGACTTTTACGACACCCTGGAGATGGACAACTATGTTGCCTTGTCCAAGAAGGATCTCGAACTGTCCATTACGCTAAACGAGGTGTATGCAACGCATTCGTTGCTGGAGAGGCATGCTGCCGAGTTGGTGCGTTTACCTTCTGCAAGAGATCATGAAGGGGGTACTAATACGATCCTGCAGGCCAAGGACGACAGCTCCCATTTGGGCGTCATCCTGCAGGAACTTGGGCCTGCGCCACCACAGCTTCCGCGAAAGGAGAATCGAGCCATTAATCTGCCGCTGTTCAGCAAGTGGGAAACACCGCTGGATGACCTGACGGCGGCGCTGGACATTACGCAAGAGGAAATCTTCTTCATGGAGGCCAAGAGCACGTTTGTCATGATCCTTCGCTCACTGCCATCAAACACCAGCATCACCCGAAGGCCATTGAGGCTAGATAGAATCGCCGAGGCCGCCGCGACGACCAAGAACGACTCGATCATGGTGAAGAAGGGCATCCGCAGCATGGAGCTGCTCAGCCAACTGCAAGAGTTGGGTGTCATCGACAAGGAAGATGGCTTCTCATTGCTTAGGGATGAAGTCGAGCAAGAGCTGGTGCACTTGGGCTCCATCAAGGAGAAGGTCATTGAGGAGACGCGCAAACTCGAAGAAGTCTTCCGGACGATTCGCGACCACAATGGATTCCTTGTCGGCCAGCTCGAGACCTACAAGTCCTATCTACACAATGTGCGCAGCCAGTCGGAAGGCAAGACACGAAAGCAGCAGAAGCACCAGGTCCTGGGCCCCTACAAGTTTACCCATCAGCAACTGGAGCGAGAGGGCGTGATTCAGAAGAGCAATGTGCCGGAGAATCGGAGGGCCAATATTTACTTCAACTTCACCAGCCCCTTACCCGGCACCTTTGTCATCTCGCTCCACTACAAGGGCCGCAACCGCGGTCTGCTCGAGCTCGACCTGAAGCTCGACGATCTCCTGGAGATGCAAAAGGACAATCAAGAAGACCTGGATCTCGAGTACGTGCAATTCAATGTGAGCAAGGTCCTCGTCCTCCTCAACAAGCGTTTTGCGCGGAAGAAGGGATGGTAGATTCGCCTCCTTGCCGCACGCGACACGTCACGAAGAAATCACGATACAACAGATACCCCCGACTTTTACCATGTATTCTCCCCTGTTTGAACGCCTCTTCGATGTCCCCATACTCCCTGACTTGCTCTTTTGGCAAGAAATCCAATGGCACGTCCATCTATCATCTTCATCCTCTCTACCACTTTACTACGACTACTATTCCCCATCATTGATGCCAATGTCATCATTGTCATCATCACGGCGTCGGAGTATGGGAGAGATGTGCGTCGTTTGGCAACAATGGCTATCGTTTTTCTGTCAATTTCTTTTCTCCCGGTATTTTGTCTTTGGGCTCTTTTTTGGCTCGTCGTTTTCTTTTCCTGTTTTTGTGGTTTTCTTTTTTATTTTCCTTGGGATACCCCCTTTTTTTTCTTCTTTCTTCGGGCACATGGGCGGAAATCGGATGATGGCTTGGGAGGGAGAAGGTCTTGTAATTTTATGGTTTTTTGGGCTTTTTGGGTGGGGGGTTGTAGGGGCTGTTGTTGGTATTGTCGGTGGTTGTATTGTTGGTGGAGAGGAGGAGGAGGAAGGGGAAGAGGAATGATTGCAATTGATTTGTTTACCTCTCTCTCCCTCTCTCTCTCCCTCCCTCTCTGTACGCCTCTCCCGACCAGGAAATCCTCCTCGTCCGCCCGCCTCGGGATTATGTCTCTCTAATGCGCACACATGTTGTTTTTACACCTTGTGGCTCTTTTGATTCATGTGATATACTTGTCTTTTTATCCCCATCTTATCCCATCCCATTCCATTCCATCACATATATCCCTCTCCCAGCTACGACTATCCCTATCCCCCCTTTCTCTAGGCCCCACCCGCTCTAGTCTTTCCCTTTCAGCGGGTGGAAGGGCAGCGAGGGGCGGGGGCGGTAGTGGGGCTTTCCCAGCCACGCATACGGCTGTCTGGTTTCCAGCCCGTCAGTTGCGCGCCGGCGAACCAAGGCGACGAGCACGCCAAAGCGCAAAACAGACACCCGTCCCCTTCACACGCGCTACCCGTTTCCGTCTGGAAACGAAACGCGCAGTCTTGAGCGTCTATTCATCTTCATCTTCATGGCCATGCCCCACAGATGTTTTCATGCAGTCTCTTTCTTTTGATTCGCCGACGACTGCCTACTTGCACTCTAGTCCGTCGTGGCGGAAGGGTTCCATACATGACACACAAAGGCCAGAATCTCACCATGTACCCGGTCAAGCTGATGAATGGCAAAGAGAAGAAAGAAATTGCACAAACGACGGGCTGCAGAACGAGTCTGTCCCTTGGTGTCCCGAGTAGGTAACTATTTCCGCGGAAAAGAATGAGCCCGAGGAGTTTGTGTTGCAAGTGGTACATACATGATAGCAGAGCGCGGGATACATGTCAATTTGCACAAGATCCAACAAAGAAAACCAAAAAAAAAGGTCTAGTTGAAAAACGCCAAACGAGGTATATAAGCAAAGGTATCTTCAAGCATCATGTACACATACAATCATCATCATCGTCACAAACTCCCTGTCACACAGGGATCAAGGGGAAAAAACGTCCTAAGCAGTCGTCTGAACGACGCGAAATCCATCACTAATCATCTTCTGAATATCTTCATCCTTGTGCTGCAAAAGACCAAGAGTAAAAGCCACATCGTTCCATTGTCGCTCGTTTTCTGCCTTGGGCAGCCTCGTGGCGAGTTTGTTCGACAGCTGTCTGGCGTGTTTGTCCTGGGTGTATAGTTAGCATCGTGAACCAACACATGGATACAGAGGGGCCTAGGGTGGGGTGGGGAACATACCTTTTCGATGAATCCAGCCAAAAACTTGATAATCTTCTTGAACGAATCCTCACTCAGCGCCGTATCCGCACTGAGTAGACTGAACATGTCGATGAACTGGTTGTAGACTGCGTTATCCTTGGTAGCCAATTCGGTGAAGAACATGCGCGCCATGTCGGCAATCTTCTTGTCGCTGTCCTCGAGACATTTGGCCATTTCGCCCAGCTGGCCCTTGACCTTGACTTGCCCGGCCAAGATCAAAAACGTCAGTGTCATGAGACATGTTCGCTTGACGCTTGGATCGCCATCGTTCAGACGGCGGTAGAGGAAGTCCGTGTTCTCGTCAATGAGATGATTGAAGCACACTGCCATGTCACCAAGCGCCACGACGAGATTGCTACGAACGACGGCGTCTTGACTGCGCTCGAGGATGGTGAGCAGAAGACCAAGGTTGTTCTCACAGTACTCTGAGCTCACACACATGAGTTTTGCCAAGCATAGCGCCGCCTGTGCTTGCAAGGTTGGATGGTTGTATGAGGTGTTGTTGGCACAAATGTCAGCTACCATGGCACCAAAGCTGGCGAGGAGCGACTGGGGTCCGTATAGAAGCTCGCGCTCGCGGATGTGGGCAATGGCTTCAGTGAAGTCATCTTCAGTAGTACCGGCCATGAGGTCGAGCTCATCCACTTCTTCAGCTGCTGGCGTCAGCTCCTTGGTTGCGCCCCGCTTGCGGCCCTTCTTCAGTGGCGTCGCTTCTACCGTCGAAGCCATTGACCTTCGGGGTGTTGGAGCGGTTTTGGTCTTGTCCTTCTCAGCTTTCCGTCGTTTAAACTCTAGCTCGCACAGCTCAAGGTGCACAATCTGCTTAATAGCGACATGTCCGACAACGAATAATAGTTGCGAGAGAGCTAGAGCAGAATTCTGCTTCTTCTTGGGAGTCTCATTCACTGTAGGAGCTTCTGGCGTGGCTGCATCTGCGAGCTTTGATTTTTCGTCATCGTCGGCGTGGGAACTTGATGTGGGTCTCGATGTAGCCTGTGCTGCGAAGACTCGTTTGGTCACCCTTCGGATGATCTGCGAACAAAGCACATCTGGATGTTTTGAGAGAACATAGATGGCGCTGATAGCTTGCTCTGCAACCCCAAACCATTCTTTACTGTCGGATTCGAGCTCGGCCATGGCAGCCAGCCTGACGAGTACAGCATGATCGTTGGGCAGTTTGACTACATTGGCCGGGGCAGTTGGGGAAGCTTGCTTGCCTGGGGGAGGACTTATTCGTCGTAATGCAATACACGTGTAGCGAGCCAATCCCAGGTCTCTGCGACCGAGCTCTCCCAGACCAATGCGCAGGCAAGTCTCCATTTCCTGCACCACGATTTCTGGTGATGAAAGGGCGAGCATACCCAAGACAATGATCGCCCCACGGCGATGATTCTTGGAGATGTCCTTTTTCTGATACCCATATATCTGCCAAAGCTTCTGCACGACCAGTTCGTTAACCAGGCCTTGCTTCACCATGGAACTGAGCAGCTGCTCAAGTGATGTGAGCTCCGCAGGCGTTGTCCCGAACGTCAGACTAATCATGTTCTTCGAGACATAATTGGCGGCCCCATTTGCGTCAAAACCAGGTGGAGGATCGAAGAACAAGCCTTTGTAGCATTCGATGAGATGTGTCTGTACACCTTTTCCTTCATCGCTGTTGCCTTTGGTCCAGATCAATCGCAGCATCCTCCGGATTCCGAGCTTCGAGTTTGCGATCTTGTATGCATCGATTGTCACGAAAAAGTCCATTGCCTCAATGACCTCACTCTTGTTCTTCGATGACAAGAGATGAGTGATAACCTCAGCCGACTCATTAATGACTTCAATGAAGCTCAGGGCTCTCAATATGAGTTTGCGTGCTTTATGCAGGATCCCAAGCTCCTGGGCAGCCGCAGCATCCTTTTCAGCCTTTTCAAAGAGCGCGGCCTTTTCCTCTTCTGTCATTTCTGATGGGTGTTTTGGCACGTCTGTGTCAGCATTGTCTGCTTGTGTGGCGTCCTGCAATAAAGTTTCATCCACGGTCTGATCTTCCGGCGCACGTTCACGCAATTCTTCTGGTGGCTGTAGGGTGTTGATCTGAGCATCGACTTCCTCTAATCGTTGAGTCCAATCTTTGGTCGAGAGCAGGCCACCAAAAGAAGCGCTGAATGGATGAGTAGAGACAAGCTTTGCAAGCAATTTGATAGCATTACGTCGTACATTGCTGCTCTTATCCTCCAGACTTCGCGCGGCAAGATCGGTGACTCTACGTCGACGTGCAGGATACTTTTGCTCGAGATCGCATAGTTTGACGTACACTTGCATAACTCGGCATCGACAGTATGGATTTATGTCCAGGAACCGAGACTCTAACACATCAAAGTAAATCTCAATCTGCTCTTTGTGGGTCTCGCTGCGGTCGTCTTGGCCCAGTTTGCTAAGCATAGCAATCAGATGACCCAAAACTTCAATGATCGCGCAACGGAGAGTGTAAGATTCGCTATCCAATAAATTGGCAAGACTGGTCATCTGCTTGATGACAAGATGAGGCGTAAGTTCAGCTATCCTAGTTAGGAACGTAGATATCGACTTTGGTCCTTTTGTATCGGTGGCGCTAAACTCTTTTCCGCCTATATCTTTTAGAACATCCTCGGTCAACTGGGGGTAATCGAAAGCATCTGCGAGAGTGAAGAGGAGTTCCGCCATGGGTTCCGAGAGATGCTCGAAATATGTGAGACTTTGGTTAATGGATGTTTGCGCGGCTATCGTAAGTGTTAGTAAAGAGGAGGTGTGAAATGTTGACACTACCCACTGTATGCATGTCCATGACGCTTTACAGCAAAGCACACGACCCTAAAGCAATGGTCCCTAATGGCCTTGTTCTTGACTCTGGTTTCGTTTTCCAGAATATGATACACTGGCTTCGTCATCAATCCAATGAACGTGTCGAGCTCTGATGTAGTGACGAAGATGCGGCCCAGCTTGAGTTTTAGTACCTTGGCCATTCGGTCCAGAGCTGTCTCCAACTGTGAAGAGGGGTCCCAAGATCCATCTTTGGCGACTCCCGCTTTCGCTTTTGTCACTTTACCCCGCCCTCGTGCTGGTGCTGATGCGGATTTCTCGAGGGCCCTCGTTTCCACAGCCGAGATGGTCCACCGGAGGAGAAAGGCATACATCTCAAGGATGTTCTTGTGGTATGGGATCGCATCTTGTTCTTCTGCTTCGAGATCTGCATGTATTACGTCGGCCTGGGTTGAGAGGGCGGAGACGAGCAGGTCCAGAATCTTGCTAAGAATGGCTGGTGGAATTTGTGAGGAAAATCTAGATAGCGCAAAAAGCGCACAGTTAGGATTTGTTCTGTATGTTCGCTTGTTCCCCTCCTATGTTGGTACGCACTTCAAAAGAAATTGCAGTGTATCAAACACCGAGCTGCGAGTGATGGCATCTGGGCTCTCTGCTACAGCGTCGACGACAGGATTGAGTTCGCTGTTAACCAGGCCGGGCGATGACAGCGATTCTGGGTCATCTTCACAGTCCTGGAGCGCTTGTGGGGCTTCTGGAGTCGGAATGGATGCAGGATCGCTATCGAACAGCCTGATGGCCTCATTGATGTCAAAATCCACACGCGCGTCCATGATGCGCAGATACTTTTGTCGGAGAGAAAAGAAAAGAAGTCAAACCCAAAACCAAAAAGAAGTGACGTAAATGTCGTCCAGAGAGGGTTTGCGGGGATGCGATGTGTGGCCTGCAGGTGAAGATGCGGGCAGCCCTACATTCAACACACCAGGGACGCGCCTTCGGAGAGAGAGACATGTTTGTGGCCCGAGCGTCTTTGTTATACTTTCCCCTCTTGTGGTTTAGCGCCAAAGTGACGTTCCGTATCGCGTCTCCCACCCTTCCGACCAGCAACATTGAAGCCACACTGTAGGTTGCACGCCCAAACACAACACACAACCACAGCAGCAGCAGTACCGAATCTCGGCATGGCAAAGGCTCGTACTTCTCTGCGTCATGCAGAGCACATTGACGTGCACGAAGACGAAGACGAGGTCAATGAAGAGCAGGTGGAGGAACAACTGGACGAAAGCATGGATCCGCTGGACGAGAGCGGACAGACGGTAGACAGCAGCGACGAAGAGATCGAGGACTCTGTCCAAGAAGACATGGCCCGGTTTGAGGAATCTTTTGTCGGGATCAGCAAACGTTATCGACTGATCAATCGCATTGGAGAAGGTACATCTTCAATTCTTGGCTCGGCTTATGCAGGGTAGCGGGGTGGCTCACATGTCCTGCAGGTACCTTTTCTACTGTGTACAAAGCCGAGGATCTGGAGTACAACAAGTACAACAACAACTGGGACATCGACGAGCGTGAAGACCGCAAATGGGCATCGCCAGGACACCAACAACGCCTCTCCAAGCGGCCTCACTATGTGGCCATCAAGAAGATATATGTCACCAGCAGTCCGATTCGCGTCTTTAACGAGCTGGAGCTACTCTACGACTTAAGAGGCTCAGATTCGGTCTGCCCTCTCATCACTGCCTTCCGACACCTCGATCAGGTTGTTGCTGTACTGCCCTATTTTCAACATCGCGACTTCCGTGACTACTACCGCGACATGAAGATCTCAGACATGCGACTCTACTTCCGTAGCTTGTTCACTGCTCTTGCATCGGTACACGCCAAGGGTATCATTCATCGAGACATCAAGCCAACAAACTTCCTCTACAATACCGCACAGTCCCGTGGAGTGCTGGTCGACTTCGGACTAGCAGAACGCGAGGGTACAGATTGGCACAACTGTGCCTGTCACCTGTCGGAGGAAGATCGTCGCCAGAGGATTACGCACAGTGTCTATGCACAGACTCAATCGTCAGGACACAATGCTTCAAGCTATCCAAAGAACGACACACGGAACAGCCGTAGGGCCAACCGTGCAGGCACTCGTGGGTTTCGTGCTCCCGAAGTGCTGCTCAAGTGCACTCAACAAACATGTTCAATCGATATTTGGAGCGTTGGAGTCATCCTGCTCACTATGCTGTCCCGTCGCTTCCCATTCTTCCACAGCGCGGATGATATTGACGCTCTATTGGAGATCACCACCATCTTCGGTCGCAAGAAGATGAGGGAGACGGCCCTGTTGCATGGCCAAGTCTTTGAGACCAATGTTCCCAGCTATAGTGAGGGTGGGCACACTTTGGAGAAGATCATCTTGTGGTGTACTGGTCGAACGGGCGACAAGACCCAGCCAAAGCGAGAATTGGAAGAGGAAGAGAAGGAGGTTGTGCAGTTCTTATACCGACTGCTTGAATGTAACCCAGCGAAGCGCATCACTGCGGATGAGGCCCTTCGACATCCTTTCCTGACTAAGATGTATGAGGAGAGTGAGGCCGATGAGCATATAGCCAGTAACGTGGAGGCTTGAGGGCTTGCACGGCTTACGCATTTATGAGGTATGACTGATAGCATTGGACGGCGCAGAGCAGCTGTGGCATAGTACAAGGAGTTTTTGGTCATGTATGGTGAGACTTTTAAGGTCATTGCGATACCCTTTATTTCTGTAGTGTACAATCAGAGCATGCATAATCGTTCATCCTGAATTGTTTCAAACGTGTATTATCATACAAAGATCCCTCTCATATCCTGACAGTCGGCTATACCCTCTGCTTCCTCGCCTCTTTGAGCTTTTGTTCCGCCTTGATCTCTTTCCGCGTCTTCGCGCTCTCTGCCAACCTCTTCTCATGGGCCGCCCGGGCCTGTCCCTTTGGTCCACCATTGGCCTCTATCCTCGCCTTCTCGCTCTTTTCGAATTCCTTCTGTCCCTGCATCGCCTCTTCCAGCGTCGGTATTGGGAATCCCAGCCTTTTGGCATGTGCTATCCGCTGTATGCTGACATCTCGCCCTCGATGCGCCGCCCGTACATCCTTCAGCAGCCGATCCTTTACCCGCTGTTCTTCTAACTGTTCTTCTGAGAGCACTGGTGGTCTGTTCTCGACGGGCTCTCCAAAGGGGGCGACAATGGAAGTTACGACGTGTCGGACTGCGGGGGATGTGCGGTGGCCAGAGGCGATGCGTACGACGTCGCCTTCAACGAGGGAATTGTTGGGATCTCGAACTAGGTAGTTCGAGTGAGAGGGGAAGTGCTGCCCACGATTTAGTATCATGTACCCATGCACGCATAGTATATATGCAATATATGTATATCTAGCAATACACACCTTTCTGAACCGTTTGTTCCACTCTTGACCCGCAACGCGTACTTTGACCGTCCTATCCATCTTCCCTGCTGACACCACAATACCGACTTGCCGACTGGCGAAGTTTGGGACGACGATTGCCGCGGCCGCCTTCTTCGCTTTGGCTGCGAGCGAAGCCATGTTGGTTGTGGGGCGGAGGTAGTGCGGAGGTGCTTGCGGAGGTTATTGCGAGACTCAGGGGCGCTCGGTGCGGTCCTTCGAGGTTGCATGCAGTGAATTTTAAGCCAATTATCCTTTTCAGTGCCGATAAGTGTGTTTGGGGGGCCTTGTGTGGTGTTGCTGGCGCCCAATTGCGGCCGTTGGCGACCTCTGTAGAACATAAAAAGTGAACGGGAACTCGCGAATGCCAAGCACGACTCCGATTGGACGCCGTAACTGCAAGTTACTGCTATCGTGTCCCGAAGTCTTGCTTCAACAAACAGATTACCCAAAACCTTCGCTTTTCTTCACTCCTACCTTTGTCTTCGTTCTGAGTTCTCTCCCTGCAACCCTCTCTTCTTCGGAATTCACATGTAGACTCAGTATCTTCCAACTTAACCCTTATTCGGATAATTAGGTCCGTCCACTCTCTTTCGCAAGTTGAACGCCGGTGCTGGAGCAAGTGAGGCTTCAAGATGATACGACGGTTGACGTTGTTTCTTTTGCTGGCTTGTCTGGCACTGCTGGTCTTGGGTGCTGAGGACTATTACAAGGTATGCAATCTTCACGTCTCGTACACTGTACGATGTATGGCGAAGTCATTTCAAACCCACCTTGGCTAATCTACTGTACTACAGCTCCTTGGACTCAAGAAGGATGCCTCAGAACGAGAGATCAAGAAGGCCTATCGGAGTCTCAGCAAGAAGTACCACCCAGACAAGAATCCGTACGTCATCACTCCATGCTACCAACCATCGTTATAGCAACACTAACACTATATCAGTGGTGATGACACAGCGAGCAAGAAGTTTGTTGAAGTAGCCGAGGCCTACGAAGTTCTTAGCGACAAGGAGACCCGCAAGATCTACGACCAATATGGCCACGATGGCATCCAACAGCACAAACAAGGTGGCGGGCCCCGCCAACACCACGACCCCTTCGACCTCTTCTCGCGCTTCTTTGGCGGCTCCGGCCATTTCGGACATCATGGAGGGGAGCGACGGGGTCCCAACATGGAAGTTCGCGTTGCGCTACCCCTCCGCGATTTTTACAATGGACGCAAGACAGAATTTACAATCGAGAAACAGGCCATATGCTCAGCATGTGAAGGCTCAGGCTCAGAGGACGGACACGTAGAAACCTGTGACCTATGCGGTGGCCGTGGCGTACGCATACAACGTCAACAACTCGCGCCTGGGCTATTCCAACAAGTCCAAATGCACTGTGACAAGTGCGGAGGCAAAGGCAAGACGATCAAACACCCATGTCCCATCTGTGGTGGCAGTAGAGTTGTCCGCGAATCAGAAACACACGTCCTGGACATCGAAAAGGGTATGCCAAACGGTGTACGTATTACATACGAAAACGAAGGCGACGAGAGCCCAGATTGGGTGGCTGGCGACCTCATTGTCCACCTCGTGGAGCAAGATCCTGCACTGGGCGCAGAAGAACACGAACGCACTGATGGAACTTTCTTCCGCCGCCGCGGCAAGGATATCTTCTGGCGGGAAGTCCTTTCGCTACGGGAAGCATGGATGGGCGACTGGACACGTAACATTACACACCTCGACGGCCACGTTGTCCAACTCTCACGCAAGCGCGGCGAAGTGGTCCAACCTAACACGGTGGAGGTTGTGAAGGATGAGGGCATGCCCATATGGGCGCAACATCTCGATAATAACGAGGGATTACAATCTGGTGACCTTCACGTGGAGTATGTCGTCGTGCTGCCGGATATGATGGAGAAGAGCATGGAAAAGGACTTTTGGGCCACATGGGAAAAGTATAGGAAGAAGAATGGGGTGCAACTGGATAAGGTGCTGGGCAGGAAGGAGGGGCCGATTGAGATGCCGAAGCCGGAGGGCGAGGGGCATGACGAGTTGTAGCGGATTTTTGATGGTTAAGTTATCGACAATGCTTGATTGGTTCTTGTTTTCTTCAAAAAGGGATACCCATGTATGGAAGATGGTCATGGATGAATGGTTAGAGGGATAAAGCAAGTGATGTTAACATAAACAGTATATCAACAGTCACGATAGTGACCGAATTCAGTGGTCTTTCTTCAATCTTTGCTTGTTTTCGATTGTAGACAGTGCAGTTGCCATGATTACAAAAGGGCGCTTACGTTGATCCTCACTATAATATCTTGCAATTTCTCTTCATTATTGCCTCTGATATCCATGCAATGCATTAACAGAACGCTTGCAAACTTCTCATGTCCTCTCCGCAAAACAAACGCCTTCATTACACGAGCAACGAGCCGTGGGCGTACATGTAAAGCAAATTAGCACCAAACAGGCAAGGCATGTCTCCGACCCAACGTAATTTCTGCACCGGACAGATGCAAAGATTTCGTGGGGCTATAGGGCAGGGAAAATTCCGACATAAAATCCTCATGGCGCCATTCCTTGCGTGTATAGGGTAAGCATTTGGGGCTGGACCTATGAGATTCAGGTTGCAGTCTATTCATCTCTTTATTTTCTTAGTCGAAACCGCAGTGTCCATGTATGATGCGCAGCACACTGACATGCGGGCAAGGGTCGAGCGCAGGAACACATCACGGCAACTGCTCGGTGCTTTTGGATGATAGTGTTTCATCCAGTGATTGTAACGAGAGAGTATTTGCATACACAATGTTGTGGTTATATATATAGCTGCCTCATCTAAGCCATGAGATATACGGGCGAGCTGTATTCCGCAACACATTCGTGCGCTATATCGGGTTTTCGAAACAGCTAGATCATGGATTTCGCTTGAGGTTGTTTCCCGCGCAAAATCTTCATGTATATTCCATCTTGACTACTATGTTAGGGATGGTAGTGGGGTTGTCTGTGGAGAGGTGAGGGAGGCAATAGGGGAAGATATATGTATTAAAGGGTTGGTGTGTGATTGTTTGCCTGACAGCGGAAATATACAATCTACGCGGATTGTGGCATGTACATGATTGATAAGCAGATTATTTTTACTGTAGCAAGCGAGTTCCACTTATGTCCCTTTTACGTCCTCTTTTGGAAAACTTGCTTCCAGAGATGGCGAAGGAAATAGCATTTCTCATGTCCATATCAGAAGTTTCAGGTCCTAGAGCGTAGATTTTGGTCGCAAGTATGGAATATGGCTTGGTACCTTTCTAGATCGAAGTCGAGAAAGACCGCGTTAGAAGAAAGAGTCCAAACGCGTCAAATTTGTCCACACCTACTGTAATATCATGATGTGGTTTTCCATAAGTCAGGGACAGAGTGTGGAACTTGCTTTTGAATTTCTGACCGAGATTCCAACTTGGCATCCTTTCTGATTCTTTTTGGTGTTAGAGGAGTAAGTTCAAAGACAGCCGTGCCATAGTGGACCATCCTAGTTTATTTGACAGATTTGAAGGTGGCTTGAAAATATGCAGTGTTGATTATATATGGGTGGGTGGGCGGCCACGCATTCTATGCAATAACATTATCAAATATTTTCCGGGGTTTTCAACGGGGATGAGGACTGCACGCTGGGCGTTCATGAGGTTGTCGCCTGAACTTTAGTCTCTCTGCCCATCTACACATGGCGGCTTCTTTCCATCTTTTTGACATTCGTGACTGCAGCTCGAGTCTCCTGCACGATGGTCGGGAAGATAATTTCCGCTTTTGGTTCAAGCACAGGAAACATATTTCCATGATGATATTGTTTTACAACGAGAGAATTTAGGGAGTGTGATGTGAGATTCCCAGTGGGATCGAGGAGATCTTATACACCATACCCAAATTAGTGTTTTGAATCTAGGGAAAGGTCTTGCAAAGACATCGCCTATATACACCAACGGCCTTACAATAATATCTGTACATCTCAGGGAAGCTTTGAATGATTCATACGTACACTTCTCTGAGCTCTATTCCAAAAGCAGACTGCGGTCTACTCATGGGTCTCTAGGACGCCGTGTTTGAATCGACTGAGATCCATGTGATACAACCATCCAATCAAGACTCATCGTTGTTTTCCAAAACTAATCATACCCACCCCAAGCCTGACGCTCATGAATATCATGGTTGTAGCGTTTGAAAAAGGCGGCTTCGAGGGGATGATGTGTTGAAGACAATGAAGCATCATACCATCAAGTCTTTATACACCCTGGTGCCGACATGAAAAGCCACGTCTAGCTTTTCGAGCAAGGTGATCATGATGAATCACATTAGATACTTAGTCATACAAATATTGTTTCAAGACGGACGTCTTCTTTTTGCTTACTTTTGCCATTTCGGATATATCTATTCAAGCCAACCAAGTGATATGGCTATACTGTGCTTCATCGTCGCTGGATCATATAGTGGTGTTTTAGGGGCTTCGAGATCAGTCATCTCATCGCTGTTGACACAAGTATGCCCGCGGCCGGTCATGAATGCTTGTAATATTTCCTTGGGATGTTCCTAGGTTGTCCAGTACAATTCACGGATCAAGAGTTGCAGTGGGGAGAGGTAACGAGAGGGCTGAAGAGACCTCCCTCTTGTATATAAATGAGCGGTTTCATGCACTCATGGTCTTAATTCTGGACTTTTGTTGGGAGCGATGGGGTGGAAAACCTGATTGGACATGTCGCCTCTATGTCCTTTGTAATTGTGTACAAGGGTGCTTTGAGATTTGGGGAGAGGGTGAGCATGGCTAGATACCCGCGAAATATTGGGCGCGATCGAGAGGCAATAGGTGGGAATGTGACAGGTGATTTGGTGGACCACGTTCGAAATGTTGATAATTGATAGATGTGACATGTGCAGTGATTGAGCGTATCGAATATGAGAAATGTGATCAGATGGGAGGTAGTTTCCAAATCCTTGCACGCTATCATTATTTAATCTATAGGCACTTGTAGATAACATGGCAAATTCATTGCACGTAGGATGACAGCTAATGGGATGATCAGATTGGATCCGTAGGTGAGAATATAGTGCTTCCGGAAAGAAGAGTGAATATGATAATTATTTTCCTCCAACATGCCTTAAACAAGCTCTAAAGCTTATTTAGTCAGCCTCCCACCAAAGATATTCCCGTGAATCTCTACACTCAAAACACAACCATAGCAACACCACAAGCATCTCCCTCACCTCTACCCACACCTCCTCGTCAACCGCCAAGCTCACGAGCCCTCAACTCACACCACCCTCGAAGTCAGACGTTCACACAAGCTTTGACCAACACCACCACCAGTGGGGTCCTTCTCCACATATCCACAAAACCATGAACGGTACATCTGCACGACATAAAAGAAGTCACTTGCGCCATCCGATCCCTGAGACTGCTCGCACAGCACCCCGAGCAAAAAAAGGAACACCTTCCTGCATCGCTGTTGAGTCCTTGCACGACCGAGCGAGAAAAGCAGAACCCCTACGTTTGTCGCTTGCGTTGGGCAGCAATCGGACACGACGACTTCATTTACTGTACAAGAACTGGTGTCCTTGCCCCTTGTTCGCCCATGACTTGCGCTGCTTGCAAGGAAGGCGTGGTGCTTGGACAATCGGACAAGATCTAGAAAAGGCAGTGCCATGTTTCCGATGCTGCGCTGCGGGCAAAGAGTGAATAAACTCGGTGGGTCTTTTTGTTCAGGCTCATGGGATGGGGGGCACAAGGCGATTCGGTCGGTCCTATACTGCATATTTCACCCCTGGGAGGAGGCGTGGTGAGTGCTTTAGGGCTACAGAAGCCAGGCCGCCTGATGTAAATCACAGACATATTATGTATGGTATGCCTGAGAGACCAATCTACTTGCCTCTTTCTGCAAAAGTTAAGAGAGAATTTGGGGGCATGGCGTTGGGGGGGGGGGGGAACATGGTACTGCTTCGGTCATGCAGATGCAGATTGCTCCACCCTTCACCCCATCAGCATCAACGATCCATAAACGAACACGATGCAGAATGCGGCTGGAGCACCGATGCTCGTCATTGTCAATAGGCCCCACAACTGCTGTCCCTGGAAATCACCACAGACGTCTCCACACTGTGAGATGGGGGTTGTGTGTCTGACACTTTGCGGAGAGTGTTGCGCGAGCAAGCGCCGTCGATGCCCAACGCCCGGATTTGCGGATGGACATGGACTCAACTCACTTCTTGTGGAGGCTTGGTCCGGTCGATGGTGTTGCCGCACCGTCCCCCTCCTCCTCCTTCCCCCTAGATCCCTCCTCTTGCTCTTGCAAGACCTTGTATCCCGGGTAATAAAACGGTGTACATCGGCAACGTCGTAGATATATTGAAAAAGACCAAAAGAAACAGGGAATGTGCCTGTAAAGCCCCCAAAAGATAAGGCTGACGGATTGACGCTTGGGGTAATCGTAGTGAACAGTGAAGCAAACATTAGATTATTTTAGTCGCCTATGCTCGAAGTGCTAAACTATACTCAACATGCGATTTGTGAGCTGATTGTCATATCCGACTCGTGATTTCTCGACCGGCTGTACGCCTGACTTGTAATCGACGTGTTGTGGTCCGTTTAATCGGACGAGTTTGAAGGGCTAAAGGGCCGACTTCTTTTGCCGTGAAAAGTGAAACTGACACACATGCGCATGGAGAATGCCACCAAGTCGCAAAGAGAGGGACGAGAGAAAGAAAGAGGGGCAAGCGGCGTTCGGTGGTGGGCCAGAGGGCCAGAGCGTAACGAACGACAGCACCGGGGGTTCACGGGCCAAGCAAATCGTTGGAGTTGCAAACGAAGCCGAAAGCGCGAGTCTAAGGTACCGTACCGCACCGCACCGCACCGAACCGAAAATTTGGTTGAAGAAGAGACCTAGGAGCCGAAATGCTCCATGGTAACTCACGATATCTAACAGTAAGCAATTTGCCTTTACATGGTGGAAATCTCCATACCACGTCCATGTTTACGCTCGACTAGGTACCAAAGTAAAACACCAAACACAATGCTTCAAATTGCAAAACCACAGGTATAGCTTGTCTGGGCCAGGATCCCAGCCACCACCACCGACCGGATCCTCCCCGCATCCTAGCCAGCCACATGACCACAATTCTCCCTCCCTACACATAACAAACTTGATCAAGCTCGGGCTCAGGGGGCGCCCGTTACGCCACCAACTCCACCACCAATCCAGACAGAATCCTTCGCTCCACCGCAAGCAAACGCAGGTGGGTGCGGCGGCGGAACGGAGAGGACAATGCAGCCTGTCTTCCGAAGGAATTACCAGCCATCTCCTGTGTCATTCCCCCGTCTGGTTGCATCTTTTTCTTTAGTTTTTCCTGTGGCGCGGTAAGATGTTTGTTGTGGATATGTAAAGTGCGGGAACAGGCTTAATTCCTTCTTTGGGGAGGGAAGGGGGGGGGGGACTGCAGGTTGACATTGCGTATCGTACTCTGTAAGTTACATGCCGCCCACAGGACAACAGGCCAAAGCGACGAAAAGCATATTAGCTGCGCAAAGTGACGCGACGCGCAGTCGTGTCTAGTACTTACCACTCTAACTACACGGCATCTTTGCGTGTTGAGATCCTAGTCCAGGTATACATTGCCCAGTCTCGTCGTCAACAATGAGCCAAGGGGGGGGGGATGAGCCATGGAGGAGAGAAGTGTACTGCGCTGCCCTTGCGGGAAGTGCCTCTAGCCGATATGCAGCAGCCGTTCATTGATCGGTCAGATAACGGAGAGACGACAGGAACAGGCGGCAGGGTGTAGGATCACATTGGACAAACGGGGTTGTCTCGGGTACTGCGCATCACACCGGGAGCTATGTTTGTACGCCGTCTTGCAGTGTCGATGCGAAAAGTGGGCTGTGTGAGATGGAAGTGGAGCTTGTGAGACGTTTTGTGATGTTGTCACTTGTGTTGCTAATGCGGGGGCACTTGGAGAAGGCGAGTTGGAATCTTTCCCCTCTCTTTGAGCCTCTCTCTCTCTGTGTGTGTATCTGTGTGTGTGTGAGTGTGTTTTTCCAGACAGAGAGTAGGGCAGTGCAAGTTGTCACTGAAACGGCCAAGGGCTTCCCCCCTTCCCCTGATGACACGCACACTGAGGTGTACGGACAACATCATGAACATTATGCACCTTCTGATTGCGGTCACGATGATGGCCGTCGCCGTCGATTGAAGAGGTCTGTGCAAACCAGCAGGTCTCAACGATCGCATCTAGAAGCGCAAGATCAAGCTTGTGCAAGTCATGTTTGATGTGCAGCCATAAACTCCGAATGAGGGGATTACCAGCCCTTCTGCTATCGTTCAAGGTATGCCTCGTCGAGTATCAATTCGTATCAGATGGGCGGATGCTCTGATGCAGACTTTGTCAAAAGAGGCGCGTCTTCACGTTCCTGGTCGGTAGTCTAATCCTGATTTGCTAACGCTCGATAGTCGTGGCCCACAGCCCCCATGTTCGTCAACACAGAGGAAGAGGTCAATGACCGCTACTCTTTATTGTCAACAACCTACCTCATTCAGTTTCGGTCCTGTATAGAATTGGCGTCTAACAGCCGACATGATTACGATGAAGCACCTCTCCCGCATCTATCTGGATCATCCGCAGCGACAAGAGATCCCACGCTATCCATGGCATAAGATTGGAAAAGCAAGGCTAGAGTACTAGAGCACTCCTAGCTCGGCGTTTGAGACAGTCCGAAAAAAAGCGCCCATCTCCACCGCAAAGCCTGCCTCGGCGCAGAGCGAGGGATGCCCAAGATCGTCTGTCGGACAAAGTCCCGAAGCTCATCATTGGAGAGATTGGCACAAGTAGCATGCCAAATCCCCAGCAATCTGGGACACGAAGAGAAGTGGTGCCCAACGTCGCGCCAGATCGTCCCTTTACCCCGTGCCGAAACCAAAAGCCATTCTGTTTCAATGCCGCGCGAATAGGAGAGCCGTGATGCGCCAGGCCTGGCCTTGCAATGTCACGGATCCCCGCGAATACTACTGTGTGGTAAACTGTGAAGACGCAGGGACTGGGGGGCGGGAGGGGTGCGAGTTCTTGAAGCGGAAAGCCCTGTTCAGGTAATGCGAGGAATCTCGGACAGGAGCTTGGTTCGTATATAGACCAGTGATCGACGATACACAGCAGGACGTTGTGAGAAATTCTCCCCCTCAAACGCCGCTCCCTGCCATTTAGAGTTTGCAATCGAGCCTTTCGGAGCTGGTTAACACCTCCAAATTTGCTCGCACGTGGTCACCTGTTGCCAGCTGATCGACGTGTGCCCAATTCTCAGGACGCATTCGCATCCAAACTCTCCATCACCGGCCTTAAACCTGAGCATGTGCACCACCACCACGACTGGCCAATCTTTGTAATGTTGCAACGCACACACATAGAAGCACGTGTTTGATAATGCAAAACACCCATGCCATGTGCCACTTCATGACTCATTTGCTTTTCAGTCAACTTCAAGTCCCCCCCCCTCACATTGCCTCACAATCGCCGTCCTCGCGTTAATGCCTCCGACGTCACACCTTGACGAATATGGCGCGCTGTAATACATAGTGGAATCCTTCCAGACGTCAAGGGACGGCTACGGATCGGAAAGGCAAAAGAAAGGTTCCGTCGTTCATCAGCGGGACTAGTGGGCCGCCGGGCACGCTGTGGCGCGTCGGGCCAGGCACGCGACTTGGTGGAAAACGGGTCCCGTAAAAATGATCTCCAAATAGTGCTTCCATGCTATCGTGGACATGGCGAGCGAGATCGCCAAATTGGTGTTGGCTTGCAGTTGCTTTTTCCAGGCCCCATAGAAACCTAATGATACAATACGTACTATGGTCCTACCCTGACCAAAGATACCGAGTACGAAGGCTTGATCTACGCTTGCTGATACAGACTGCGGGTACTACGTATGCTCGGGGTAACACTTGGCGAGAGTGCGGCCAAATATTCGGCAGCTTTGTCCTCACACTGAGGGCGCGCGCATTGATCATGGTGAGATTTGGCGACCTGTACGTGAATCATCATCATAGAGTGCGCGTACGTCCGAGGATCGAATCGATAAAACTACTCCCTCATGCGTACAGGTACTATGGTACTTGTACGAAGTAGAATGCGGAACATTGCGGCTGTCGCGCCAGGAGGTGGAGTTTGCCACATTGGTGCGCGTGCGGCGTGTACGCTCAGTAATCGTCTGGTTGTCCCTGTACCAATGGTGAGCTTTGTACACATCATACCAAACCATGGGCAATCTCAAGGAACTGTGATAGAGTTTAATATTCCCGCAACCATTACATAACCTTTCGACGAGCGGCGCGCGAGCTTCGCAAGGGGCGGAGACCTCCTCAGCCAACCATCCATTCATCAGTCCAAGACTTTCATCAAATACCACAGATAATAGCACCGAAAATACGGCCGTTAGAGTGAACAGCACCAAAGGCAGCTGTGAAACGATACACCAATACCAAATAGATGGGGCGTGAAATCCAATAATACAAAACACAACTGGTTGAAATTAAGAAACCGACCGTGGTCATGCGGCTACAACCGGAAACAGGAAACATTCTTTTCCATCAACTGTTAGCTCTCCCGCTTCACCGCCTGTCGCCACTACACTTCAGCTAGTCCGGGGTATCGTGTATCTCCGCCGAGGAAGACTGGTGTGCAAAAGACCGCCCAGGCTTATATATGTGCAAAACCCAAGAAATGTTTCAACGCTAGCCGCCCAATGTTGAGTACGTGCGTGATGCTTCGAAATTGAGATGATATAACAATGTACGCCAAGATGAATGCAGGAAATGGAAAAGCAGTTTGATACAATGTGTGCGTGGTGAGGATTGCCCTTGGCAAAAAGGGACCAGGACCCGTTCGGACGAAGTCAGGCGGATGTTCCCCGAGTCATTGTGCAGGGAGAGCCCTACCGTAGGCCTTCTTGCGCTTGAACGTTGCGCAAAATCTCAAGATCCATGCTGAGAATCGGAGAGTTCGGCGATACCTCCTCGAGGATAGCGATTGTCCGTTGCAGGAGTGCGGTGAGATTTGTTCTATTGAGTGACGTGGAGCGCGCAACTCTTGGGTAAAGCTTGGACTTCAGGACTGATGTGAGAACCAGCATGTTGCCGAATTGCCTGCTCCCTGTTAGTTACTGGAAATGCAGACCGAAGAAAGGTGTGACGCTTACGCATGTAATGTGCCGAAGATATTGGTTACTATCAACCGTTTCGTACGTTGGCTTTGGTAACCCATGTATGGGCTCTCAGGGTTGGCGCCAACGCGATCGAAGGCAATAGTACTTCGTACTGCGCTTTCTATGCATTTGCAGGCGATTTCGATAATCTTTTGCTGATCCTCCGAAAGATCGACCATGTGCACGTTGGATTCGTCGGAGTTGTATTGGTTTGCTGTTGCTGGTGCTGGCGGAAATTCGAGGACGTGAATCGCGATTCGGAGATAGGGACGCAGCATCATGTAGAGACCTCCATAGTACTTGGCACGCAGGCGAGCCAAATTCAGGTCTGTTGGTGGAAGGTCGCCATCCTGCCAGTCAAGTATCGGAGGCAGCGTTCGTTTCCAACTTTCCAGAATCTCAATGTGAACTTTGGCATTAGCAACAACCTCTTTGACGTTCGTAACGTCGAATCCAACCCGTCCACTAGCCCCGTACAAAGCATTGTGTGCTTCATTGAGAATGACACGCAGCCAAATCTGACTCGAGTAAATCATCATGGCATATGAATCATTCGCGTTGCTTGATTGCCCCTCCTGAGGCTGATTCTCGTAGCCGGCTCCGTCCTCGGTTGGAAACCTGTCTGAAACGCCCGCTGGGTACATGATGTCGCTCTGGTGCTCAGAAATACCGCTGGGTGGAAGTGTGCTCATTTCCGCCAAGATGTCGGATTCCAGCTGGAGGCATGTCCAGTAGACACACATGACCGAGTTCTTTTGGTATCGATCCTTGGCGGTCACCTGGTGCCCGTTGGAGAGATAATAGCTACGGAGCAGCTTGGGATAATCGGCTTTGACCAAGACCATAGTGACTCGGCATGCGCTGTGTATCCAGCTCCAGCTTTCCAACACTCTAGCAAATTGACTAAGATACAAGGCTGCCAGTATCATAGCCTGTGCGTGCGCGACTGTGTTGCCGCCATGCTGGTTTCCGAGAATGTCCGTGGCATACGCAAAATAGGCCATGCCTGGCAGAACGTCGATGTTTCGAGGACGATGATCGTCTGTACTCTCGCTGTAGAAGCTACCAGTGGGGTGTGGTGAGCCTCCAGTGTGGCCCCAAGCGCCGGCAAACGGGGTCTTGTCTTTGCATGGCGCAGGCAACCGTTTGTCCGTATAATTAAACACCTTTCCAAGTGCACAGACAAGGAGGACAATGGCATTGCGTAATGAACGTTCAATGGGCCCACGAGGGGATGCAGGATCCCCAAAGGCACTCGTAGATCGCTTTCTCTTCACGCCGGGATTGAAGGAGAGAGGTACGCTTCCAGGAACGGGCGATTTACCCGGGACGGGCCGACAGTCTGGGCTGTACTGCTCGCTAAAGTCCTTGAACATTCTCTTTAGTTTGCTTCGGTTCATAAACGGATGCAGAACGTGCATGTTTACAAGGTACGATTCTTGTAGCTCTTGCAGCACTGCGGAATGGAAATTCGGTCGGCCATCCTGATCCAATCCACCTTCCATTCCCGAGGTCTCCTTTGGTGTAGCTGGACTTGAATAATCAAAAGGCGGATGACCCCACAGACCCTCCTTTCCAGGACCCGAGCCGGGGGCAGGAGACGGTCCATCAGAGTGATCATTACCACTACTCTCGGGGCTTCCAGGCGCTTGTGTCCCATCGCTGATGTCATGGCCTTCGCCTACGCCCCAGATGCGCAACTGTCCACGGTCCTGCTCAAGGAGCATGGGATAATCGGACACTTTGTGGCCCTGTTCCACAATCTTGTTCAGGTACGGCACATCGTGATAAAAGACATTCATGCTCTGCCATTCTTCCAGAAGCTTGTGGGCCGGAGTCGTGTGATCGCCCTGAAGGCCGCTCTTCTCTTTGGAACCAGTTTCAGTAGCACGACTAAGATCTGTTCGGACGCTGTCTGCTGGCGTTGCGGGTTGCTGCGGAGGAGCGAACATGGCCTCTTGCTTGATTGGTGTTGATGCTTGCAGGCCGGATGGTGACATGTGCGACGAGGGACCAACGGGGGATTCCATCTTCATACTGTTGACTCTGGGTTGAGGACGTCCCTGAATGGGCGTCCGGCCACCCCACCCACCCTGCTCTCTGAGCGGCTGTACGAAGGATACCTCCGGTGAGCCATGGCCTGATGTCATGTCGAAGACGCGACCTGGGCCGAGTCGGCTCTCTACACTCTGTTTCCAAGTGGTCATCTCGCGTTTGTATGCGGTGAACTCGTTGGCGAATTCTTTGAGAACTTCATGAATGCTGTTGACTCCATCCTGGAGTTGCATCATGCTCCTGTCCTGTCTGTATTGTTGGGTTAGTAGCCAGTCGCCAACAAGATGAACCTCTCACTTACTTGGGCGGTGGAACATCTTTGTACTGGCAATCAAAGTTGTTCTCCCGGCAGAACTGACACGGTCGAGCTTCGTCGCACTTTTGCTTGCGCGAACGACAGTGATTACAGGCCTGCGTGGCTCGCACTTGCTTTCTCCTCACCTGCTGTGAAGCTGCATAGTCGCCGATGTAAGGGCCCTGGGCATAAGGCGTCACTGGTGGAGGATAATGTTGGCCAGCCGGTGGAGGTGGTGGGTAGACGGCCTGGCCGTTGGGGTGAGGGGGCGTGATGTTGTGGCCATAGCCATTCGAAATGCTTCCGTTAGGGCGATGTTCGGGGTGACTGGACCAAGGACTATGATGACCGCCATGCTCCATGCCTTGGGAGGATTGCTGAGACTTGACGTCCACGCTGATACTGGTAGAACGAGACCTTTCGAGGTCTGGGGCCGATGAAGTTTGAGGGACGGGCGGTTGGCGATATGCGGCGATCCGATCCTGGGAGATTGTCACGGGAGGAGGGCCGATGATGCCATGAGGATGTTGACTGGGTGAAGGGATGCTTCGTGGGTCCGCGAAGGAGCGAATGCCAGAGGGTGCGACCAATGGTGAAGGCAGCGGTCCTTGTCCTTGATACGGTCCTTGGCTCTGTGAAGGATAAGGCGGTGGTAGATTGTTGGGGGGATTCTGATGAGAGGGCGAATGGGGGAGAACCTGAACCAAGGTGGGATGTGACGGCGTCCGAGAGTGGTGGTTGTGAGGTGGCAGCGGAGGGGGTGGAAATGGATGGCCGTTGAAGACAGGGTGATTCCCCGAGTCCAGACGGGCTCTCTTTTGGGCGGGCGCGTCAAGCTCGGCCATGCTTAGATATACCAGGCGAGATGATCCGCTCAGGCCATGCGGCTATGTATGACGAAGAAGTTTTGGGCTACCACTACACGGATGCTCCCAGGCCAAACGGCAAAAGCCAGTAATGGTCTCGGGGGGGGGGGGAGGGGAAGGGAAGGGGGGAATGGGTTAGGGAAATGGGAAACTGAAGGGGCTCCGGAGCTGCCCCGGGCAGGGGCGGAAAAAAAAAAGGGCCCAAATTCTCACCAAGCGAGAAGGGCAAAGGGTTGCTGAAAAAGGATTTGCCAACCACAGCCCAAACCCCGTCATCCCCTGGGTTAAGAAAAATTTGGGG